GCCCCCACGGCTGAAAGGGCGGGCATGTTTGGTGTGACGGGGATTCGAACCCGCGACCCTCAGATTGCGAGTCGAGCGCCCTAACCACCTGGCCATGCCGGGCCAGCTATGAGCTAAACGTTTGTACTTGAAAAAACAAACAAACTAAGAGCCGTTCTATGAGCCACTTTGCCGCGGCTAACACGTTATTATACATTATGTTAAAGAGCTGTTGTTATGAGAAATACACACATCATAATTATAAAATTACATTGAAGTCCTCCTAAAAATGATGTTTTAGTTTTTTTACGTATCAAACATACTAATGTTATTACTGTGAAAAAACAATAATCAACTAAAGACGCAACAGTCGGTTTCATACTTCATTAAAACTGGGATGATAAATATTAAACTTCACATGTAAGTTGATAAGGTAAGAAACATTAACTATGTGATTGGTGAAAAAAATTTGTGGCCCAAAACATTAAACAGTGAACTCATTTATAATGATGATAATGAATTAAAGAAACATGTATAAGAATCAGTTAGAAATTGTATGAACACAGGAGGTAATTTAATTGGAGAAACTGACATCTGAGAGAAAGAAGTTACTAAAGGTCAAAATTCAGTTCACGCAAGCCTTTTTAATTGAGTCAGTAAAATAATTAAGTTACATAGAATATGATCAGAAACCTTAGTTCTGAAAGTTTCGTTAAACCTCGAATGTAATATAATACTTAGGCAAAGCTGAAATGAAGACAAAATTACAATTTCATAAAATATACTCAGACTCATGTTTAGAAGATCAGCGTAATAATAACACAACATGTATAACTCAGTCTCAAGATGGTAAAAACTAAAATATAGAAATCTAACTTAATATATACACGCTAAGTCAGCACTGTAACATGGACCACGAAAATGAATATCAAAGATGTCTGTTGGCACAGTGACTTTGTCTTCTACTTTAAGAATAAACTAACATACTTCTTACATATTCTCTAATAAAAGTGTTTTCATTACAAACTACAGAAATATGAATTTCGTTAAAACATTCATTCCTAAATGTTTCCTTTTGTTAAATAATGTAACAAAATTATAAACTTTTATATACATTCGTATTTTAAGTTTAAAGAAATTTAACAAGTACAGAACATTAGAATAATTATTGCTTACTGACAGTGTCTAAGTAGTAATAACAAAAAGAGGAAGAAATAACACATTGCACACTACATGGTGATATTATCGGACTCTCGTATTTATATGAACTAGGTAGGTAGGTTTTACTAATATAAATATGATATACATTTGTTTGTTCTATAATGAAGATTCCTCGTGATAAGAACCATTTATTGAAAAGTATTGAATATCAAAATAAAAATTATATGATCCTCTTCTTTCAAGATCATAGTGTTTATCGATATAAACAGAAGAAACAAATCATAATAATCATTTATTTCTAATAATAACGTTTTCTATCAAATCTAGGGAATTCATGGAGTTTATTTATATTCGAGTCTTTAATAAATGTCAAAAATTTTCTTCCGCCTTGTAAAGTCCGGGAGTTATGTAGGAAAGTTAAATGACTTCACAAAAAAAAACACCAACTGTTAAATTTGATTAAAGTAATTAATTTTCCACGAAAAACTACAGGAAAATAAAACATTTATATGTACAACGATACTGATTTGTCCGACAATATCCAAGATTTCTTTACTTCAAGCCCCCCAGTGGCACAGCGGCATGTCTACGGACTTATACTGCTAGAAACCGGGTTTCGATACTCGATAGTCCTTTGTGTATCTTTGTGCTTAACAACAACAACTTTACTTAGCATGTCTACGGACTTATACTGCTAGAAACCGGGTTTCGATACAGATAGTCCTTTGTGTATCTTTGTGCTTAACAACAACAACTTTACTTAGCCCCCAGTGGCACAGCGGTATGTCTTCTATACTCGATGTGAGCAGAGCACAGATAGTCCTTTGTGTATCTTTGTGCTTAACAACAACAACTTTACTTAGCCCCCAGTGGCACAGCGGCATGTCTGCGGACTTACAACGCTAGAATCCATGTTTCGATACCCGTGGTGGGCAGAGCATAGATAGCCCATTGTGTAGTTTTATGCTCAATTGCAAACAAACAACTTTACTTCAAATTGTTGGGTTAAAATAATTTTTTTTTATATTTTCGATACAAATGAAAATGATTGGGTTTCAAACCAAAGTGTTCTCATATAAAATGTTAATGCTTAATCATCAAAGTAAGCGATAAAACATTAAAGTATGTTGTTTTCAGTTTCATGGTGCTTCAACGGCAAGTCTGGGAGCTTATAGTGAAAAAATCGTGTTTCGATAGCCGAGGTGAGCAGAGCACAAATAGGCCATTGTGTGGCTTTGAGATTAACAACAAGCAAATGCTTTTTTTCATGCTTTTTACGAAAACGAGTTTAAATTCAAACTTAAGTATCTTTATATAAAGTAAGTTACTGATTAATTTACAGTCGGTCTGAAGAGTATGTATATGGTACACTAAAATATAATTATAAAGATCCAAGGTTTAAGCCACAATATACAGAAGTGAACACATTTCGTACCTTCTGCTTTGGGAGCCATAAAACCGTAAAACATGTTTAATGTATAGTCAACACAGTTGCTTGTTTAACCTTATTAACTTACATCTTTAGAAACAGTTACAGTTGTCAGTCATTGCAGAGAGTGTAGATGCTGGATTCAGTCATTGTTTGACTTCCTGCATGCATAGATAAATAAGACTTAATGTCATGTAAGATATCATAATATTAGAAGTTTGTACAAGTATAAAATGTATTTGTTTAAAGCTTCAGAACTGAATTATAGTTCTGTTGTAGGATATCACATATAACACTGTCCTGGGTGACTATAAAGTTACCTCATGCATTCTTTTCTTTATAACTCCCAAACTGTAACGTATATGTTAGTTAAACACACTTCCAGAGTTTGAAGACTTTTCCTCCTGAATTTTATATCCGTTTAGAGTTTCAGAATTAATTTAGATAAAACGTCTGCACTGTGAGTAAATCTATTTGATTAAATTTTCATTGTCAATATCAAAAACAATAACTCTTAACAAGAAGTCACAAATTACCATTAAAAATTAGGGCCTCATTCCCGCGTCCAAAGGATGCAGCCTCACTGCTGATTTGCTGTCTCAGGGGTGGGGGAAGAATGAATGATCAAAGATGAAGACGTCATAGTTCCAAAAGTTGTAGTTTTTCGTTCGCTGCAACACCATCTTAATGGGAAAACGTACGCAAGTGTGGAAGGTGTTAATGAGGACATCAACATGTTTGTTGCTTCAACGCCAAGTGATTTCTTTAATCAGGGTATTAACAACCTGATTGTAAGATGGAAAAGCATCACTG